TGGCTGGAGCAGCGGCTGCACCTCAGCGGCCCGGCACACCTGGTGACGCGGCGGGGCCCCAGTGCTGGGCCTCCCTCCACCCCTCCCTCCCTCCTTCGACAGATCCGTTCTGTCGCTCTGGCCAGGCCAGGTTCTGTGGGAGGCAGTTAGACCTGAGCAGAGCAAGGACATGGGCCAGGTACAGAAAGTCACCAGGGCAGAAAGCCCGGGGTACCTAGCAAAGGACAACTGTAGGGCGGAAACTGCCCCCAGGGTGACATTTCCTCCCCTAGCACATCGCTGGTCACGTGGTTTGGACCCCCTGGCCTGTCCTCCCTAGAGATACCATGTAGGCCTCAGCTGTATTTCAGCTCCAGGCCCAGAAAAGCAGCAAAACCAGCCTCGGCTGACCTCAGGGCCGGCGGCACGGACTGGCCCCCTGCGCGTGTGGGAGCTGCCTGCACACGGAACGGAAACAGCGTCGCCTAGTGGTGCCACTGGGAGATGGCGGGTGGGAGCCTCCGGCCCAAGGCGACGGTTCAGGCTAATTTTTACTTTACAGATGAAAAAGCTCACAGTCTGAAATCGTGCTGGGACAGATCTGTGACGTGCAGCCAAACGAGAGGGTTTGCTTTGTCTCCCACACACGTTCATTCCACGGAGATGGAGCCTTCGGTCTGGCGACGCGAGCTCAGCCTGGGGCCGTGCGTGGCCATCGTGTAAGCATTTAGGGACCACTGCTCTCCCATCTACTCCAGAAGCACTCAGGCGGGCTGAGGCAGGTCTCGGGCATGGGGGCGAGGCGCGGAACCCGTGCAATTACGAGTTCCCCGGTGATGTGGTGAACTCGTCAAGGGCTTCATTCGTTCAAAACGAAAAACGAACCAGGTAAACCACGGAGAAGAGTCCAAAACCTGAGGACAGCGAGCGGGAGGCAAGGGAGCCTGCGCTGTTCATACTTTTATGTCCTGTATGTTACCATAGCGTGTTGACATCTTAGAAACCTTCCTCGCTGGGAGAATGGCAGCCATTTCTCAGAGACAGCAAAGGGCCCGGTGGATGACACCTGTGATAGGCACGACCCCCTCTCCTCTAGCCGGTCTGTACACCTCGGGGGACAATAGTCCTCTGCCTTAATCTCCCAAGGCGGGTGCCAGGCAACCAGGGGCCAGCCCCATAGCTCAGAGGCCATGGGAATTAGTCAAGCGAGCCAATCCTACTGGCCCTGGCCTGGCCCGTTTCCTGCAGAAACCCCGACAAAGCCTAGGCTCTCCCCTCACTCCCGCCTGCTGCCTCCTGACCACCGGGTGCTTCCTCGCGTGGCCCTGCGTCCCGTTCCTCAAACCTGTGAGTATCACACACTAGGTTTTACCTGAGCCTCTCCCGTGTCTGCTCTTGTGGCCGCACCTGACCATCACATAAAACACAGAACAGAACCCGCTTATGTAACGGCCACGTGGGGTACACTGGGAGGCCCTCCCAGACGAAGTTTTAGTAAAAACTCCTGCTCCCGAGCCACTCTCACCAGGTGGGACAAACCCTGGGGTGCAGCCCTCCCCCTCCCCCTCCCCCCTCCTATCCTCCCAGGTACAGAAGGTCGGGATTTTACCAAAGGCATCAGAAAAGGCTGGCTGCTTTATTCCAAATTCTGAACAGTTCATAGCCTTTTTTTTTCTTGAGAATAAAATACTTTTGATATCACAGATTAGAAAATCAACACAATCGCTTACCAAAAACCATTTAAAATTCACACACCGGGGTGGGGGCTGGGGACAGGGTAAAAGGGGTCAATGAGGAAAAAAGGGGACACCTGTAATACTTTCAACAATAAAGATAAATTAAAAATAAAATTCACATACTGGTTTTCAGAGGTCTTTCACAGGTCTCTTTATTACAACAGCTTCTGGCTTTGCATCCAGCACAACATAATGAAGCGCTAGTGTTCCCCCTGCGCCAGCCCACACACCGGCCAGTGCTGTAAATAAAACAGATCAAAGCAGCGCCCACACCTAAGCTGCAAAGGGAGCTCTCTGCAGGTGTCACCACCTCTCCAGTGCACCAGGCCGGTACACTTTCTCCATCACGGGTGAGGAACATTCGGTGACTTGTCCCTCTGGAGAGACACTTCTGTGGGGTGTTATGGGATGTGTGGACCACGTGCAACGTCCCAGCACATGACATGCAGTCGTGAGGTGGCCGGGTTATAGCTGTGTGAGCACAGATAAGCCATCGCGCATATGCGTGAGTGTCCTCCAGGTACAAGTCTCATTTTCCAAAGCCACTGGCAGGGGATGGGGGTGGGGGTCACACTCTGAACCTGACACGGATCCGTGGGACTTCCTGGAGGTGGGCTCTGGTTCAGCTGCTGTGGCATGGAAGCTCCAGGTGCGCCTCCCACACCTGCACGTGGAGGGGACTGCAGCTGTTCGTCCTGTTCTGACCAGCGGCACACAGCACAAGGGGAACGCTCCCCACTCTCACAGCCACGACCCCCCAGTGGAGGAGGAACTGTGAGCCTCTGCAGACCCCACGCTTGTCCTTAGGTCATGACCTTTAAAATCCACCCAAACCCGTGACAGAAGGAGTGTAGCTCTAAAGGTCACTAATGAGCAAGCCCAGGGGTTAAGGCAGGACCGTTTCTAATTACTTTCCAGGCTCCCAAAGGGACTCTGCGCATGCGAGTTTGTTTCTAAGCCAGTGGGATCGGCCACAGGCCTGTGCGCCTTTCTCAGAGGGGCCGCGCCGATGGGTCGGAAAGGCCGCCTCTGCCACCCCACCCGCCAACCGCACCCAGGCAGCACCTCTGCGCTTTCTTTCACAGAAAGAGTAAAACTCCATCGGCTGTCCCACGGTCTGCCGCCCACGACTCTAATGGCACAATTTAAATAGGACAGCACTTCAGTCATCGGAGGAAAATGCTCTTTAGAAAAATAATACTTCAAAAAATAAAGCAAACTCTTTTACCAAAATAATTCTTTGACTTTTCAAATTGTTCTCACTTCAAGCCGGTTAATAAACGAGAGAGAATCACCTTCTGGCGGCTTAAAGAATGTCACTCAGTCATTTAGTGATAAAAGCTAAGGAACATAAGAATAATTACTCATAACCCCTAGTGAGACACAGAATACAGTCTAAAGTGTATCTTGTTAAGGTGACCAGTGAGCAGTAACAACACGGCCGAATGCTTGTAACAGTAACCAGTCAGAGCAGAGTAACAGATGCTATCCACAAAGAATATAATATCACTTCTTGAAATTATTTTTTTTAAAACTGAGCAGTTTCTTTTGAGAGCTCCCAGTAGAAACTGACCCCATTACCGCCTGGCACCAGCCCTGGTCAAGCCTGTGTTTCAACACTGCCTGCAGGATAAAGGCGCAGGCAGAGCCCTGAACGGATCTGAAACACGGCCCCAGATACACTTCCCACAACCTGAGCTTAAGGCATTGCAGTTAGAGAGCCGGACAAAGCACATTCTAAATAAAACGCCTGCCAGGTGCGTTAAGGAGTCAACATCCCAGCCTTGCGCCACAGACAGGGGGCGGGGGATCACCCAGGTTATCTCTAACCAGAGAAATTAAAGGACTTATCACCTAAAAATTAGACCTGTCGGCAAATACTGTGAGGGAACATCCACAAGGTCGAGGCCCAGAACAGTGAAGGCTAGGGTGCCCCCGCCAAGTGCAGAAGAGGGGTGCAGACCGCCATAAGGGATATGTGCCCCACTCTACAGCCGGGCGCATTGGGGGCCCTCAGTTGACACTGTCACCACCGGGGACCCTGGTGGCCAGTGCTGCAGGCTGGGAAGAGCGGCCCCATCTCTGGCTTCAAGCCACACCCGAGGACCACCTTCTGCTGGGAGTGCGCCCGACTCCTGCCTTTAAGATGCCCCCTTCTTTGCACTTGACTTAGAAGCCTCAGCCCTGGGCAGCAGGAGGGAGTGTGTGCATCTCGACTCTGCTCAGAAGCCAATGACGCAGGCCAGCCTCCTGAGCTCCCTCCGGCTCCCAACACCTATCCTTTAATGGGCGGCCTGTCTCCCCGCGGTGCAGGAGGCTGCCTGGACGCGTCACGCCGAGGCGGAGTGAACATCCTGGTTCTCGAACGGTGGCAGTGGCTCTCTCCAGAAGGTGAAGTTGCTGAATGTATCTGAGCAGGGGAAGTCCGAAGAGTGACTGCGTTTCAGCAGCGGGAAGACGTGGTCAACCACCTCACAGAGCCTCACGTACCTGGAAGGGAACGACAGCGTCACCGCCTCCAAGGGAGCCCGGCCAAGGGGACGCCTGCCATGCTCCCCATGCTGTGTTCGAGCCTGAAGAACGGACCTCGGGGGCTGACACAATGGAGGGTGTTCTACAATTCCTCACGAATTAATAGGAAATCCAAGGGCATGCCAAGCAGGAGTCAGAGGCGATGGGACCTGAGGCAACACAGAGGAGGGCCAAGGAGGGCAGAGCAGAAGCACGGGGACAAGGGGAAGGGAGCAGGCAGAGGGACAGCCGTGCCGCCACCGAGTTTGAGTGTGTGCATCCAGGAAAGAATCCCAGATCTCTGGAGCATCATGAGACTGCGTCTCTGTATGATGAAGACACTGGGGGCCCTGAGGTTAAGAAGATGGGGATTTGACCTCCAGTTCTGCCCTTACCAGCTGTGATCTTGGGAAAATGGACCTACTCCCCACCTCACTGCTATGCAACCTGGGGCAGGTGTCCTACCCACTCTGGTCTCAGGCCTTTTATCTTTCTTGAGTATGGACTTGACAGAGACCAGTGTTTCTCAACGCTCCCTGCAATCCCCTCACTCCATTTTCTGTACACTCCCGAGAAGCTGTGGCATGTTAGTTTCTGTGGCCTACGCTACAAAAGAAAGCTGCTGTACTGAATTTACATTTTCAGACCTGTGGGCGCCTCCAACCAGAAACTGTGACAAGCCCAGGCCTCTCTGCACAGCCCCAGAGCCCCCCTCACAGCCACCGGGTCCCTCTCCAGTTACAATGTGCTGAGAGCCTGAAGCGGCTTTCCAAAAACCCAACCTCTAGGAACGAGCATGTTCCGGGGCAGAAAATAACTTATTAAATAAGAATGGAAGTGTGTGTTTAATAAAGGACCTCCAAAGGGCTTCTGAGAAATATCGTGCTTGCATAAAACGAAAAAAATCTCTCTTCACAAGCAAAAATTATGTCTTTCCTGAGGATCAAAACAAATGTTCGAAATTCCTTCTGGCTTTCAGACCTATTGGTTAGAGTTCTGTGGCTTTGGGAGGTGGCCATACCCACAGGGAGCTGTCCCCGCTTACCACCAGGGTGGGGCCCAGGTTGGAACCTCTGTCTCTTGCTCTGAATGCTGGGCCAGCTCCATCCCAGGCCTCTCACAGTAGCCCTCCCACTGGCTCTGAGGGGCCCACATGGAAAGGAAGAATGCGCTGGTTCCAATAGTTGCACCCAGTTTGGTACCAGAGGTGGAAAGTGTGCGTTCCTGGGGAGGGCATCCCTCTCTCACGGGAACGCCTCATCCCCCAAGTCTAGGTATAAGATGACGTCTTTCTCCCAAGTGCAGAACCGCCCTAGGCCAAGGCTCAGGTGGTGGGCACTCAACCTGAGTCTCAGGGAGTGGGGTGACCTCAGGGGCCTCCTGGGCAAACCCTCGCAGACGCTGGCATCCCTCTTTGCACGCCCCTTATAACAAGACCTGCCACTCAGCTGCTGCCTGGCAGAAACCGTGGTCATTTCTGGGCAGTGTCACATCACCTGAGAGTTCTTTTTGACCCTAAATAAAACCCATTAGATCTTCTCCAGACTCAGGAAGCCCTGTCACGTGGGAATGTGATGGGCTGAGGAACAAGGGGCAGAGGGAACTGTGACGTTGTCAGGGGTGGCCACTTAGGACTTGGGAGGGGAGATGTTGGGAGGGGACTGAGAGCGGGGTCAGTGCCTGCTGCTCTCCTAGAACTGCAGTGTAGAAGCTAGGTTACATTCTAGCTCCTAAAGGTGAAAGCGTGCTCTGGAGAAAGAAACCTAGATCCATGATCGACCTAAAACCACAGGCAGTGCCTGGAGAAGACCCAGTCACGCCCACTCCGACCCCTCCATCTGAGGAGGGCTCCAGCAGGCCCCTGGGGTTGGCTCCAGGTCTACAGAGACCTGGCCAAAGAGGGGCAGCCTCTGAAAGGGACAGGGCAGGATGACACCCATCTGCCTGGTGTCACCCAGTGGGCTAAGCTCCCAACACACACGATGAGGAAATGCTTTCCATTCTGAGATGTTAGGGACCCAAAGTGAGACAAATCACAAGTCAGGAGAGACTCTACAGCCAACCAGGACCCCTCATCCCAGCCGCTCAGTTCAGCCCCCACCTCCGGGAAACGCGCCGTGACCAGGACTCCGGGAGGAACCCTGATACACAGCAGGTTTCTGGTGAGAAGGCTGCCACAGCCAGAACATGAAGGGATACAAGGTTCCTCATCTTTAAATACAGCATCATGTGACATTTCAATCTGGTTACTTTTTAATTCGCATTCTAGGCTTTTAAACCTAACTTGGCAAATCAAAACCACTAGTTTCAGAATTCATTCCAATCCACTCTGGCGCAGAATGTGACCAGAGTTTAAATGTTCCACCCAGAGGGGATCTGATCTAATCCAGATTGTCGAAACATTTTGTTTTGGACAAAATATGAGGAGTTAAAATATATTTTCCTTATAGGAATTACAGATTAAAATATAGGCAACAGAGGACCCAAAGGTATATGGTGAACAGTAAAGGCCGTTCCTAAATTAGGACGGCAAGAGTGAAGGTAATGACGCCGCCATGGCGGGAAGGTGAGGATACTCACGAGGAGATGTTGGTCTTGGCGTGCTCCTGTATCAGCTCCCCCTTGGGGTTGACGGTGAATATTCTGTTCAAAGACACGCCTACTTGCTTGTACGAATACACGTCCTATGTTTGTAAAGGGTTAGGAAAGGGGTTGGTTGTAAATACAAATACACATTTGATTTTCTGCAACATTGTGAAATTCTCATTAACCAGAACCACACTCGCAACTCGTGCAGAGGGAGAATAGCTGTGGATGCGACGCTATTAAGTCAGCTTCCCTCTGGATTCAGGAACTGAGTTAAAGGGGGCCACCCGGCTTGCCCCCTGCAATTCTAACATTCCCTAAGGTTATTCTCTGACCCATTTTCTTGGCCATGAGTTTCAAAAGCAAGAGAATTTTCTAACTGGGAAGTTATTACCCAACTCTATTCTCTAGTACGCTGAACTTCAGCAAACTGGGGCAGCCGACACTAAATCCCACAGCATTTCTTTACATGAACAATACAGTGGCCCCCTTATCCGCAGAGGATACGCTCCAAGACCCCCAGTGGATGCCTGAAATTGCAGAGAATACTAAACCCTATAGAGACTACGTTGTCTCCTATACATACATACCTTTGATTAAATTTAATTTACAAATCAGGCGCAGCAAGAGATTAGCATTAATCAATAATGAAATAGAACAATTATAACAATATATTGTACTAAAAGTTGTGTGGGTGTGGCATTACTAAGTAAAACAAGGGTGGCACTGCAACACCACGAGTGGATCTGACAACCTAGGGACTCTACATGACTAACCTCACGGGTGGGGTGTGTCTACAGCGGGTTCCACTGGGCAAGGACGAGTCCTGGTGGGACACGGTGGGGTGGGGCAGGATGAGTGAGAGTTTATCACGCTACTCAGAAGGGTGAGCACATTAAAACTTATGAATTTTTTATTTCTGGGCTTTTCCATTTAATATTTTCAGACTGAGGTTGATCATGGGTAACAAACCACAGATAAGCAGGGGACTGCTATATGCTTAAAATTTGTGACACTGACTTCACCACTGTGCTAGGGATGGGCTTTGTGGTTCCTGTCTGGCAGGCAGCATCTAACCCTACCCAGTGTTCTTGTTTTACTCATTTAGCAAGTAATTTGGAATTTAATGTGTCTAGTCCCACATTTCATGCCTCAAACTGAAACTCACCAGCCAACCTTCAAAGAAAACTAGAGGCCACAAAATAACTTGTGGTCTCCTTGCCCCTACATGTAGGCAAGTGGCTTTTACCAGCTCCTTCCAGCAGGATGAGAGTCTGGCTCACACACAGTCCAGGCCAGCCTTTCCCATCACTGCTGTCAGAAAGACGGGGATTCCCAGAGCCCTATACACCGTCTACTACTTACAGCCGGTCGGTTTCCAAAAGCAGCATAAAAGGGTTCTGTGTTTGGGAAAAACAGGTTTTTGATGTCTGTCAAACACTGGACTTTAAACTTCTCTGGCTTCTTTTCAATCACTTCTCTATAAAACAAACAGGTAAACATGGGTCGACGTGAGGGGACAACTTCATCAGCATCAGGCTATCTTTACTGTCACAGATGCCAGGACACTGGGAACAGTGGCCTCTAGTTGTCTTCAGAGGATAAAACTGTGTGAGTCAGCTCAGCTCTCCCAGGAAAGCACTGGACAGAAAGGGAACCCTACTTTCAAGTCTCCCACAAGGAAAATGCTCAGGACACATGACTTTGCTGATTAGACTGACAGCAAGTTGATTCTCTAAGACTCAGCCTGACAATGTGGGGAAGGAAGGGGCAAAGGAGCGGGAGGGGCAGCCACCACAAAAGGGGAGAACATCACTCGGCAAAGTGGAGACAGCTCAGCCCCGAATGCTCAGCTCTAGACACTGGAGAGGAGAAAAGGCGGCTGGTCACAGTCAGTCAGTCACGTGACCCTGAGCTGAGGAAACCGGACTGCCTGGAGAGCTGGATGACAGTGAAGGGAGCGGGCAGGGCTGCCTGCATCTTAGGACGACTTTTCTGGTGCCCATTGTGGAGCAGGAGAGGGGCTGGAGAGACTGTTAAGAGGCTGTTCTCGCAAACCGTCCAGGAAGGGAGGGGGCCTGCCTGGGCACACCTGGGGCAGCGTGGGCATGGGCAGGTGAGGCCCTACCTGTGCAAGGCAGAGAAGAGGCTGCTGGGGCTCAGCAGTAGGGGCCCCTGGGGCAGCACTGTGCCCCTCTCGTTGACCCAGTGCAAGTAGCCCCTCGTCATGTCCGCCATCCCGATGGCGCGCGCAGAGCAGTAGAGGAACTTGTATCCATTTCTGAGAGAGACAGAAGGCACACGTTTAGCGGCACTGCATAGGGAACTTAAGAGGGTGGCACACCCCAGCTTCATGGGGGACCCTCCAGGCCTTGCCTATGTACTTCATCTGGCTGTTCACTGTATCCTTTATAATAAACCGGCAAATGTGTTTCCCTGAGTTCTGTGAGCCATCACAGCAAATTAACAAACCGAGGGAGGGTATTGTGGGGACGCCTGGTTTGTAGCCAACCTGCGCAGAAGTGTGAGTAATCTGGGGACGAGCCATTTATTTACAACCAACGTCTAAAGCAGGGGTAGCTTGTGGGAACCCTTACTGTGCTGGACACCTGCACATGCCATTCCTGCGCCTGGAACGCGGCTCCCTTAGATCTCCAGGGCTCTTACTCCCTCACCTCACCTAGGACCCTGCTCAGAGGGCCCTTCCCTGCTCCTTCTATTTAATAAAACACAAAACACACCCTTCCTTCCCCTCACCCCAGGCGCTAATCCTTGCTCTGTTTATCCTCATGCCAGTTGTCACTGATATTACACTGCAGTCCCGTTTGCTGTCTCCATTAATCTACACACTCCCTGAGGGGGGCTGTGTCTCATTCCTGGCTGTAACCCGTGCCCAGAACAGTGCTTGGCATGTAGTAGACACTTAGTAAATGTTTGCTGGATGAGCAAGTGCAAACTACCTCTCCCCCTGCCCCCGATTTTCTGTCCCCCAAGAACACCACATGCTGGGAGGACTCGTCTCTAGATTTAACAACATGTCCTTTAAAACAAGAAAAGGAGCATTTAAGACAAAGAGAACCTAGAAATACCCGCTTGTTTGGATACAAGGAGGCATCTCAACATCAAGCAATCTTTCTAATTAAACATCTTTGTATTTAGCTGTCTAATTAATGCGATCTTTTTATAAAAAAACAAAAAACACAACCATCACTGTTTCTGTATATAGCTCTTCCCATCAGAGTCCTAAAAGCTGCCACCTGCAGGGGTCTGAGATGCTAATTTTATTCAAAATTTGCTTTTCAAATACATTTTATGATTCGATCACAGGCCACCCGCCACGTACTCTCCATGCTGTTCTCGCCACACGGGTGCTCTGCTTCCAAGGCCATCGCTAAACTCAGCTGGAAAATCAGCTCTGAGGACCCGCCTGCTGGTGGCAGCAGGGGCTGCCTTTCCAGAGCCTTCACCCATGAAAGTCGGGAGTACCGGGTGCTCCCACCAAGGCTCGGGTGCCACTAAGTCACCACAGCTGACTCTCCAGGGCCCCTCAGGTGAGACCCCTCACTCGGGACGGCCAACAGAACACGCTCCTCCCACCATTACACACCCACTGAGCTCCAGCACCAGCCCCGTGCTGGGCTGCACTGAGGGTGCACGTGGGACTGGCACAGGCTGCCCTGCTGGGACAGAGTGCCTGGGGAAAGTAATGATGATGGAACCAGGACACATGACAGAGCAAGGCAGACACAAGGGATCCCTGGATGAGAAGGGTGCCCCCTAAGCAGACACCAGTGAGCAAAAAGCAGCACACACAGAGGTGGCACTGGTCCCCCAACATCTCAGTGATGAGAGTGGGACTCTGGGGACACAACGAAAGGAAGAGCCTTCCACGTGCAGGCTGGGGACAGGCGGTTTCTCCCTCTGTCCCAGTCTCCATGTCCTTCTCCAAACGCTTTGCCGAGAGACATTAAAGTAGCTTGGAAAGATGACCTTTGGGAACATTCACAAGATAAGCTTCAAACTGGAGTTTCTCAGCTACTGATATTTTGGGAGACCACATATATAATCGTTGCGGCGATCCCTACAATGCTTCATTGCAGGGTATGAAGCAGCACCACAGGTCTCCACCCATGAGGGGCCAGTGGCATGCTCCAGTTGTGACAACCAAAACACCTCCACACACTACCACGTGGCCCATGGGGCACACTCATCCTCAGCTGAGAGCTATGGCAGTGAGAAAAGGGCCTCTGTTGCCCTGGTTGCAGTCCTCTGTCCTGTTCTCAGATCCTCACCAACAGGGCTCACGTACTCTAAATCCATCGATCAGAGAAAAGAAGGACCAGTGTTTTTAGGTAAGCTACACTTTACTTTTCAAAACAATATCTTTTCTGGGAAAATCCAAGAGACACAAATCTAGACACCCCTCCCAACCCCAAAATGCAACTGTCATTTTTTTAATGTTACAGTTAATACAGGAATAGATTTATGCTCCAAAAGCCAAAGCGAATCAAGCTGTGGACTGTGAACTATTCAGAATCCTGGCCCAGGATGGTTTCTTTAACCCAAAGAGATGCAATATCCAGTGTCAGGCAAGTCCCTGAAAAGGCACTGAACTCAGGATTCCCCCCCACCCCCGCTGATGCCCCAGGCTGAGGGCACCCCTCGGGGAGTCACCCCGCAGTCAGCATCCCATGCCCAGCGCGTGAGGCGGACATGCGCTCTGTACTTACTGGCTCACTTTGTGGTACAGCTTGGCAATGCCCTGGTGGGTCCAGTCCTTCCCAAGGGTAGGCAAGATGTGGCCGAGGGTATCTGATCTTCGTAAGGATAAAAATGAGAAAACATGTAGAGAGCATCGCAAAGGGAAAAACTTCCATTCCTCATGGCTCCAGAAATGTTCCATAAACTGCCAACAGGACCACAATCTACTCTCTGGACACAAAGACCAACACTAAAGCAAGCACATGAGAAGGCTCCAGGAAGGGGGAGGTGTGTTAATACACGAAGGGCACCTCCATCTGATCTCGTATCAGGTCCCTGACTGGCTAAATCAGCGTGAAAAGGCCACTGAAACAGGCGCTCTTCCGGAGTGTCCACATAAATGAGGTGAGGAGCCAACGCCCTGGTGGACACCACCTGCGGGCCCTACATGCAGCTGCTGGATACAGGCAGCGAAAGTGCCACAAGCAGCCCCCTGCACAGACCGTGGACAGGATGGGCCCCCGACACCACAGAGAGAGGACTGATGTCCTGGCTCCGGGCCCAGGGGTCACGACGGTCAATGCTCCCAGTGCCCGAGTCAGCCGGACCTACCTGGTGATGGTCCCGTCGATATCGGAAATGATAACTTTATCGTCCCAGTTCCACAGGTAGATGGTGCCTTCGCAGCGACACGTGCCCTGATACTGCGTGGTGACGCTGAAAACCACGTCGTTGGGGCCATTCTTCAGCTTTAGGCTTTTCTGAAAAACACAATGTTCTCATGAGGGGGAAGCTGGACTGAGGGGAATCTGGCTTCTGTTCCATGAGGAGCGGGATTGGGGCTGTTTTTGAATCACTGCCCTAGACCACGGAGCAGTTCTATCTCCCTGTCCTGCTCTAGATGAGGAGGGTTCCTCCCAGGATCTGGGCGACCCGACCCCCAGCTCTCCTCGCAGACCCACTAGGAATGCAACTCGCGTACTTCACACACAGGCCTCCCACGTCCAAGGATGACGCTAACCTTACCGGGTATTTCTGGGTGGAGGAGCACCTCAGAGAGTTAAACCCTAGGCTCTCAGGACCGTCCTGGGAGCCCACGTAAGCCATGCATGGAACCACGTTTCCCTAAGGAACTGTGTTTTCAGTTTTTACACAGGCACAGCAGTCTGTTATCAGGCACAGCTCACATGCAGAAGCAGGTGGTCTAGACCCAGGAAATCACACCACATGCTGCCTGATTCCAGGCAGCAGCTCCCCCAGGTAGCAGGTCAGAGCCTCTCGCCAGAGCCGCCCTCTGAGCAGCTGCACGGGGGCAACGGGGTCGTACTCGTGGTGTTACGCGGGTGTCAGGGCCTGTCCATTATCTTTCCTCATTGAACACCTTGACAACTACGGCTGGGGCCCTTGCTGACTGACTGCTCGTGGGAAACGGCCCAGGGAAGGCAGGGCACGACTGAACAGGCCACGCACCTGCACAGAAGATGACGCTAGAACTATCACGGGTCCTGCAATCTGAAATTCCCTAAATCCCACCACAGGTGCTTGATTCCCCACTTAGGGGACACGCTTGAATTAATGAACATCTCTCAAAGTGGAAACACCCCTGGTTTGGTCCATCAGTCATTTACACCTCAGGATAAATTAGCTGCATGGGGCTGCCCTCCGCTAACACTTGAAACAGGAACCTCCAGGGCTGCGTCGGAGGAGACAAAGGGGAGGTGGTACTGAGGAGCCTGCCTGGAGAGGCGTCTGCATTGGGGTAGGAACATGGGGTACCAGGAGGGCAGCAGGCACTCTGGGATACCAAGGTGCCAGGGAGCGCAAGCAGGAGCCAGAGAGTGAGGCACACCCAGGCCATCATGCGCCAAGTCGGGTGGCCGGGCCTTGGCCGGTGCCCACGAACAGGCCAGGGAATAACAGGCCGCTCACCAGCTGCTCTGAAGTGAGCCGGAGGGTCTTCTTGTAGCCAACGTTAGACAACAGAGGGAGGTGGGGGGCACTGGACGGCCTGGTAGCTGCGTGCTCTTCGTCACTGGAGGATGACTCGTGCTTTACTCTAGAACACAGTGACATCCACCAATTAAAAAGTGCATCTGGGTAGCCGTTAAAAACGCATTAGGACCCAGCCGTGAGTGGCTCAGTAGTTGAGCATCAACCTAGGACCCAGGCGATCGGGGTTTGATTCCCGGTCAGGGCACATGCCCGGGTTGCAGGCTAGGCAGCCAATCAATGACTCTCTCATCATTGATGTTTCTATCTCTCTCTCCTTCTCCTTTCCTCTCTCTAAAATCAATAAAGATATATTAAAAAAAAAAAAAGCATTAGGCCAGAATCAGTGAGGGGTCATGGGGCCCCTCCTGAGTGCTGTGCCTCGGGTGGTCAGGTACCACATGCATCACGTACATCAGTGAGTCCCGCTCAACTCCACCCGCATGCTCCTGCACTCTTCAGCTGGGCCTGCCTCTCCTCTGTCACTCCCTTAGTTACCAACTATCATCACTATTAGAAACCACGAGGCTCCTCTTCCGGGTAAGTAGGGTCAGATCCCCTCCTCGCCCAGGAGGACGCTTACTCCCTCTTCCCTTCCCCATCTGAGGTGGCAGGACAGGTGCAAGGAATCCAAATTTCTTCACGTCCAACTGATTAACTCCCTGTATCTACCTCTACACACCCACAATTCCAAATAATTAAAGACTCTAGGGCTCACCAGTGGGAGACAGTGAAGACAAGGAAAACTCGCCACCCTCCCAGGCTTGTGCCGTGATCTTGGACACAGGAAGGAGCTGCACCCCCAAGCCAATGTGCACTGTACCTGGTGGCCATGCTGAGCTGCGATGGCTGCTCCCCGGTACTGTGGCTCTGGCCAGCCAAGCCTTGCTCTGGCTTACTCTCCTGGAGAGAAAAGGAGGAAAGTCAGGGAGCACCCAGAGTGGTGCCTGAACAGTTCTGGGGGTCCCCAATGGGCTCCCCGAAGCCCAGGCCAGGGCCCGATGCCCCCCAATAGCACAGCCCCTGGGGAGGCAGGGCCCCCATAGCACTCTGCTCAGGGTACACAGTGACGCTGAGAAGTACTTTTGACAGAAATGAGTGTGTTTTCCACAGTGTCTGTGACACCAAACCAAACTTCATAGTCACCATGGCTTTATGCAAATGCTGTGCCCAGGGCTGCTTGGATATCCGTGGGCTTTCAAAATAGTTCCTCCTAACTGCTGATAGAAACACCTGAAAATATTCTCACGCCATATTTTGCTCGGGAAAATGTGGACGGGTCTGCTCTGTCTCAATGCTGCACAGTCTTAATACAACTGCCCCTCCAATATGCTGCAGGGGGCTCCGGAATTCTATGAGATCTGGGCCAGTCCTGCTTCTCTTGCTTAGGATCCAAGGGCAAGTCAGGGAACCTCAGAGCCCTGTCTCCCCACCTGTGAAATGGGGTGAGATCTCCATCTCCTAGAGCTGCTATGAGGGCTACGAATGCTTCACCTAAGCCCAGGGCCTGGCCCACAGCCGGCGGACAAGAAGGAAGATGCCCTCTAGCCCCATGGACCACAGGAAGTCATCAGAGGCCAGGCAGGGTGTCAAAGGATAGGATATTCAATTCATTTTCACTAATTGTGGTCATTTGCTCAGGAGGTAGAGAAATGTTTTTATTTTTTTATTTTTTTTAAATATCTTTATTGGTTTCAGAGAGAGGAAAGGAGAAGGGGAGAGAGAGACAGAAACATCAATGATGAGAGAGTCATTGATCGGCCGCAGCTCACAACCCGGGTATGTGCCCTGACCGGGAATCGAACCCTGATCGCCTGGATCCCAGGTTGACGCTCAACCCTGGAGCCACGCCCGGCCGGACGAGAAATGTTTTTAATGTTAAAAAATAATAACTGGCCCGGCCAGGCGTGGCTCGGCGGTTGAGCGTCAACCTAGGATCCAGGCGATCGGGGTTCGATTCCCAGTCAGGGCACATGCCCAGGTTGCGGGCTACAGTCAATCAATGGCTCTCATCATTGATATTTCTGTATCTCTCTCTCCATCTCCTTTCCTTTCTCTGAAGTCAATAAAGATATATTTTTAAAAATAAATAAATAAATAAATAAATAAAAATAACTGATATAAAAAATATACCACCAGGGTGACCATCTTAACATAGGATGAGTACTAAATATTTTTAAATATTCTTTAGCTTTTTATAACTGCACAAATAATTGATGTGATAACATGCCCATTAATTTTTAATCTATTTATTGAGACAGGTAACTTAGTATTAACAATTCTTTGTTACACTAGTTCATAAATATCTATCTGAAATAAGTATATTTTTTAGAAATATTTAATTTCATAACTCTCCCGTTTCATGCTGGCATTCCCGTGAATCCAAACCAGTGAGAAACTGGATACTCTACAATAAGTAGGTCTTTGAAAGAGCCTTCTGCCTAAATTCTAGAGCATTCTGCTCTCCAGTAAGGGAACCAGAAAGGCCCATTAGGCTTTCAGTCTCCTAAAGTAAAGTACATGTTTGTTCTAACTTATTCAGATCCCGTGGAGATAATGGAACAATCAGTGGAATTCAGGTATATGGGCAGAAAATGTCAAAGAGGAATTTTATCCCAATAAAATCCTTCCAACAGACTTCTTCCCTTTGAACTAAAGGAATAGACAAACTGAGCTCGGGGGTTTCTTTTACCATTATAATAACCAACTTGACTGTTGTCCTTGGGGTTTCTTTGTACTACATTCTAAAAGTGACCAGCAACCCCCCAACAAATATCCGCCAACCCCCTGCTCTGGGTCCAGTATGGGCACCAGGGATACCCAGGGTCAAGGGCACACGTGGTCTCGCCCTTCAGGGGGGCTGGGGTCTGGAGGGGGAAAAGATGTTAATCAAATAATCACACTAATATGTGTGTAATTACAAACTGACAGCATTTATGAAGGGAAAGTTCACAGGCAGGGCTGTGAGAGCAGAGACCAGCAGACGGGCCTAATCCGCCAGGAGAGGGCCATCCGAGATGCTTAGTAAATTAAGAGGAGTGAGAAGGGTCCGAAGAGCACCAGGCAGAGAAAATGCCCTATGCAAAGGTCCTGGGGTAGAAGGTACTTTCAGCCAGTGAAACTTAAGCATGGATGGCAAGGGGAGAGAATGGCATAAGATGAGACTAAAGAGGGCACGGGAACTAGGGTACCCAAGTCCTGTGACCATGTTAAGGACAGTGGTCTTAATTATAAGAACCCTGGGAGCCCACTAAAAGGTTTTACGCAGGGAGTAACACAAATTGGACAGTATCCTAAGCAGAGCCATGTCATTACAGTATAGAGAATGAAGAAGGCAGGAATGGGTGCAAACAGTTCCCTGGGAGCGATCCTGGGACAGATCCTGGGAGCCCAGATGTGTGGGAGTGGAGGTGAAGAGAAATGGAAAATCCAAGAATTATTTAGGATGTTAAACTGGACCCAGTGACGGGTTGGATGAGAGGAGTAAGGAAAAGGAAGAGTGTAGCCTGTGGATGGGCAGCTGCACTGTTTTCTAACTATGGTCCAATGAAGGAATTCACAGGAAAATGGTGAGTTTGGTATTGGAAAGGACAAGTTTGAGGTGTCTCAAAGCAATCACATGGAGATGTCCTAGTTGGCTACTTGATAACTGCACACAGACTATAAAATAAAAGCATGTCTGGTCTGGAAATAAAAATGGGGTCATCACCGGGGCATGGATGTGGGTGCCGAGGGAAAGGAGGCAATCCAAGCAAAAGAGGAGACCCCAAGACAACCCTGGAGAACCCAGTATGGGGGCTGGCCTGAGGAGGAAAGCCAGGTGGACACAGTGGCATGGAAGCAAAGAGCATGCTTTGAGCAACAGGTTGGGCGGTGGACAAACACCTGAAAACAATTACAGGCTTTTACAGAAATGGAAACCACAGCCATACAGATTCCGACAAGCCACTAGAGTGAAATGACTGAGAACTAGCCTGCAGCTGTGAGTGTACCTCACTGACATTAGCCCCACAAGCAGAGGAAAATATTTAACTCACAAAAAATTTTAACTATTAGGGTGAATCCCTTCTTTTCACAGAGGAAGATTGACTGGACAATGGTCTCCAAGCTAAGAGCAGCAGAGCCAGGAGGTGAGCCCCACTCTCTCTGCTCACCTCCCAGACCCGTCCCCTCCACCTGCCGCACGTTCTGCAACACCCACCCTCCCTCCCTCCCTCGTGCAGGGCGGGCTTCTGCAGACTCAGTGGCCTGGCTCACGCTTATTCTCTCTCTGATGCGAGAGCTTGAGGAACTCGACTACATGAAACCAAAACTTACTGAGCTGGGCACAAACACCCTTTGTCTTCTATGCTTACCTCCTTGATCGTGGTATTTCTCCCCCTCCACGAAAACCACCATCTTCCTCCCTTTCGGGGCATCTTATCCCTCATGATAGATTCCACAGTGGCCTGTTTCAAATGGATGGCAACATAAATAATGGAACCAAAAAAAGATCAACTTAGCACAGTCAAACCAAAAGACACACACGTGCAAATTAAAATAAGATTAGAAAACAAAATAAAGAGAAAACACAACATACTGGTTGTGAATTAAAAATCTTCGAGAAGCAAAACCTAATGGTGTCCAAAATGACATTAAGGTAACTTAAGCATGAAGACTTAAGGAGGTATGAAAGCAATAAACGAAGAACAGAAAGATAGGACGAAAAAAGAAAAGCAGTGAAAAGCGTTAGTGATCAGAGAGACCAGGAGTTTTCAAAGTGAAGTGGCTTACTAGCTAAGGAACCGTTACTCTCAATATGATAATTACAAATAAAACATGAAATGACTGACATGGGGCATAGGGTAAAATGCACAGGATGGTTTTGGTAAATGTAAATTTCTAAATTTTGACAAACTGAACATTAATAGATCCATTTAAAATCTCAAGTGTTAAAAATTTCATGCTCTCACCCTAAATACATGAAAGCTGGATGGGGGAAGATTCAATATTAACTAATAATTTTCTATGTGTTTTCAAAGAACAAAATATCTATCCTGAGGCTAATTCCAGTTCCAAGGTCGATGGTACCTAATTTCCCGTCCTTGGTTTACAGAACTCTCAGGTAGCTGACAATCAGCTAGAGGTGAAAGAGAGATTTAGTCTTTCAACCAAGCAGGTTGCAGGCAAGTAGAAAGATCAGTAATTCACATATTTAGCCTGAACTGTGCTTGTTTTTATCATTTAAAACACCCTCCAGCCCGGCTGGGCGTGGCTCAGCGGTTGAGTGTCAACCTAGGATCCAGGCGATCGGGGTTCAATTCCCGGTCAGGGAACATGCCCGGTTGCGGGCTCGATCAATGACTCTCTCATCATTGATGTTTCTATCTCTCTCTCGCTCTTCTTTCCTCTCTCTGAAATTAATATATATTTTAAAGAAATAATAAATAAATAAATAAATAAATAAATAAATAAATAAATAAATAAATAAATAAAACACCCCCCACCTGATACAAAGGAAAACCTGAACACACCAAAACACGTAACATGCAAACCACATGTACCCTCTTCAAAAAGATGGCAATCACCTTCTCCTCCTAATTCATCCGTAAATGTATAAAACCCCAGTTAAAAAACAAAACAAAAAAAAACCCTAACAGGATTAACCTAGACAAACCGATTCGGAAGTTCCCTGGAAAAACAAACAAAAATAGCCAAGAAAATTCTCAGAAGAAAAATAAGAGGACACAAGCTTATAAAATAGTAAAGTATATTTAAAACGACAGTAATTTTTTAAAATGCAGTTGGTACAAGAGTAAACATTAATGGAACAGAAGACAAAGTTCAGACATAAATCTAAATCCACAGAGAAATGCAATCGATGACGAAGTTGTAACTGCCTGTTGGTGGGCAAGTATCTAATGAAAGGTACTGGGATGATCTGGGGCTGTGCCAACCCTGTCTGTTGCCACCCTGGGTGCATCGCCCCCTTTCTTACTTTCTTGCTGACACATCCAAACCTCTGCTCAAGAATCAGGCCACAATATGTTCCGGGAAGGCAGCCTTAATTCCAGAAAATGAACCACGATCGGTCTACACCATTCACAATCATTCCACTGTCTTGCCAGCAACCAATTGGGCGGTGATCGTGTGACTAAGTTGTGGCCGATGACATGTGAAAAGTCTGCCTCTGTCCTTCCTACTGTGGATGTGGCTGTATAAGGTGATGCGCACAACAGTCATCTTGTGATCACGAAGGGAAACCCAAGGGCCTCACAGAGAATCGAACCTGAATTCATCAAGCCTGCAGCTACCAGCCTCTAGGATTCTTATTATGCGTGATAACACACCCCTATTATTGAGCCACTTGTAGTCACTGTATCCTGCAACCAAAGCTCCCTAATTCAATAACCAGCTGGAAAAAAATGACCTGGTTCCTGATACCTCACCCATCACCCTCAAAATAAAATCTAGATGGATCAAAGATTTAAGGAAGTACCAGAAGAGGAGACAGGGCATGTTTTCACATGTTTTGGAAATGGGGAAGCAGGGACATTCCAAGTGGATACAAAACCCAAGGGCTGTAAAAGACAGGCAAGTTCTGTATATAAATATAATTACATGTTAGATAAATGCCATACACAGAGTAAAAAATTACTGACACACTTATAGAAAGATTTAGGATGTACGTCACAAAGACTAATTTCTTTACGTTTGGAAGCTATGTGTGTTTCCTTTCCTGTAAACTAAGCTCTTTAACAGTATCTCCATTGCACTAGTCTATTCCCTTATTGAATTGCAGAGTTGAAACATGTAACATAAAAAGTTGTCCTGGGCCATAGACACCATGAGGAACCTGGCGAGACAAAACGAGACCACCCAGGAAGGCACACCCTCGCCCAGCGTGCGGAGAATGCTAACAGATAAAGTCCTCCCGGAGATGAGGTCACAACCCCCAAATCCAAAAATGCGCACACACAACACACACACACACACACACACACACACACACACACGGAAGGAGCAAACATACACTCATCACATCAGATTGGACCCTCCAGAGCCTCAGGATTATCGGACAGACTGCAACATCCAGAGGGCACAAACACCTGCTCAGTGTGCCGAGGGCACAAGGGAAAGGCAATGCCTCCCAGCGAAGAGGACGCTGATCCAGCAGGAAGACAGAGCACTGGAAGAAGGACCGTTCCAGGCTGAGTGTCTGTGACTCTAAGAGGGAGCAGGGGACAGGACGACAGCACAGTGGCTGTATGATGCCCCTGACCTCTCACCCCGCCTCTTCCTGCTCTCACCTGCTCTCAGGAGCAGCAAGGAGCTGCCAGGCTCCTCCTCCACCACTCAGGCCTGAGGCTGCTCTTGGCTGAATGACCCCCTGAGCGAGCACTAGCTCCTGGAGCCGGCTGTGCTGCCTCCCTGCACCGGCCTCTCGTTACCCTGGCCTCTGACATCAGGAATCCACCAGCTGTGCCCCCACCTGCATCCCCAGCATGGCAGATGCTGGGAAAGGAACCCTGAAATGCAGGACATGGTCCAGCACCGCCATGGTTGGGAGGTTTGCAGGAGGGGAAGGATGCTCCGGGTGCAAGAGAACAGACTTGAAACCACGACATTGATGCTCATGAACTTCAAAAGAGCACAACATAATTAACTCTGTGGTTTTTAAATAAAATGTAAGTTCCAACCGCCCAGATTAATCCACCCATCTTTTTAGTGCCCCCTTTCTCGGGTTCAAGCTCACCTTTGGCAGGGGTTTCTGGAAAGCCTGCATTGCCAGGAGCAAGGGGGCTGCCGTTGTCCAGTTATAATATCTACAGGAAACAAGGAAAGAAACATGAAAGACCAAGGCCCAGACTGAAAAAATCAATGTCATGAGAAGGGGCCATGAAAAGTTCTGGAACTCCAACTGGGTCCGTGAAGAGCCCAAAATATTGTCAACACCCCCAGCCCTCCCCCACACCCCCCTTGCGGGGGCCACACTGCAGGGTCGAGCAACTGTCCAGGCAGCAGTCAGAGGTCAGCGGTGGTGGGGACCGTGTAGCCAGCTACAGCGCAGCCCAAGCCCCGCTGAGTATCAAGTCACCAACATACTCGTGGCATTTCTTGCCACGCTCCACGGAAAAGGCAACAAGGTGCCCTAACTTAGTGTGTAAACATCATGGCTTCCTCTCAGGGAGAAAAGCTTGCCGACGGTCTACAGAACACCTGCGTGCCCCGAACCTCAGACCAGGAAGCTTCCAAGGGGTGAATACGCCGTCTGTGCCATTACCCCGTAGAACACTCAGGCCTGAGTCCCACAGGCCAAGACATTACACATTCCATATAAAATCTAGTGCAGGTGACACCAACCCACCAACTATACATCACGACAGTTACTGGCAACAGTGAGGTGACAATAACACATTTTAGCAAAGACAAATTAAAAAAAAGTATATAAAACAATGTCTAGAGTTCATTGTCTAGGTCTCTGTATTTGAAAAACTGGAAGGGTATGTCACAGCCACATGACTCAGGAGAAACTTACTTATTTCCGATCTTTACCACCAGGTTGGGGTCATCGATGAGGGCAGGGTTGTCCACAAACTGCTGGTATGACACGGCTTGTTCCAAAAACACATCTGGGAGAGCAAGCGCAGGGGAGGGGTGGAAAGATATGGTTCAAAAAAATAGCCCCATTTTCACTGGCTCACGTTCACAGGTAAGTTTTCTAAGAGTTTATACACTCCCACAGCACAGGTATCTGCAAAAGGAACTAGCTCCAGCATGTTTGGGGCAGCGTCTGTGCATAGTGAAGGGAGCTGGAGTTGGGGAGGAGTGAGGATGGGGGAATGTCCCCCCAGTTCACAGGTCAGGGGGTATGAAGAACAGTCTACGTTGGCATCTGAGAAAGCAGGTGAGCGGAAGGCAAGGCTCAGAAACCAGGCGCCCTGGATCTAAGTCACATTTATTGCTGTGACCTCGAGCAAGTGATTAACCTCCCTACATCTGCCATGTGGGGATCCTTCCTCAGGGTCTGTGAGGATGGATGAGGTCTTGAGTGGGAAGCAGTGTGCTGCCTAAAGGAAGGGCTCACTCAGTGTTGGTGGGTGGGGTTCTGACCACTGTCACTGGTAGGAAGTGCAGAGCACTGTGTGAGGGCAGCAGCTGGCCCAGCCCCACCATGCTCAGAGCCGGAGGGAAGGCCCAAGGTCAGGAGGCAACCTTGTTTCAGTTCTTCATTGGGGTGATGGATCAGCAGGTTCAGGTGCCAGAATAAGGGGCCCCAGTCTTTTCATGAGAAGCAATTCACAAAGCACGAAGGGACCTCAGGAGGGAAACAGGGTCTAGGATGGCATCTCGGGGCAGGAAGGTGGCTTGTGAGTGGCAGGGGGAGGAAGTAGAGGACCCCCCCATTCCCTGCTAGAAATTCAGACCTTGGCAGGGTTAGGGGGGGACAGTGGAGGTGGGGTGGGAGGCAGAAGAGGGACACCCAGGTCCCCTCAGGGAACCTGTCAGTTGGTAACAGCTAGCTGCACTGACTGGGGGTCCTGAGCCACCTCACATGTAACTGTCATGAGACACTGGGAACCACTTTATGAATATGATGGGGGCTATGAATTCATTCACTCCCTAAGCCAACCCCCCTAAGAGCACCCTCCAGATTCAGCTGGGTCCCTCCTCCAAGGCCCCGCAGCATTTCTGCACCCCTCCAATGCACTGTATCCACCTCCTAACACTGCCCTCCACATCGGCCGCAGGCTCCTGCGCCTCGAAGGACTAGCGTGGGGCAAGGAGACACACAGCAGGCTCGGCAAACGCCCTGACAATGAGTGACCCCATGGCCTCGCTGCTGCCTGAAGCCAAGTGTGAACAACAGAGCCTGAGGTCAGCCAAATGCAAGCCAGCAGCACGTGGGTCCCCAGCTACAGTGAGTCACTCGTGCTCATTAACCAAATGAGTGGGAGCGTCAGGAACTAGGTGCAAAAGCCCAGGCCTCTGGACATTCTGACCAGCTGCCACCAGAGGGTGCTCTTGGCTTGAAGACCAGCTCCCAGGTGCCCACGGTACCTTTGGTTATCTCCCTGTTGTCACTGAGGCCACCGCAGAGGGAGATGGCGATGGACGGCAAGTCCCTCAGGCCGTCTGAGGTGCTCTCCACACCACTGTCCACTCCAGAGCTTCCCACGGACTGTGGGGACTGGTTGGCTGATCGGGCTCCATTGTCAGAATGTTTGGGGAGCCCAGAAGGGTCTCCACTGGAAGGAGGAAGAGGGGAAAGTGTGCTGAGGGTTGTTCTTGTCTGGGTCTCACACACATCAACTGCCTCGCAAGCTGCTCCCCCTCAGAGCAGCAAATGACTTCATTCTGGGACAGACTTCATTAAAGCACCAAGATACACAAAGACTAGTTAAATGAACTGGTCACATGTACCTGTATCCCTCCCACACCCATGTGGAGAGAAAGGAGAGTACACTCTCCTGAGGCCACCGCTCTGTGCTTTTCTCTCCAAGGAGCTGGCCCTCCCTGCAAGTCATAGGATGGGCCCCTGGGGCCATGCAAGACCCTCTCCTGGGAGAGAGAGGGACATGCAGCTGCCCACTTTTTGCCACTGATTTGGGTTGTGAGCCACTGAGCACTGCAACATAACCCCAGTGTCACCAGGGGAGACATCCTCGTGCCTCGTTCCTGTTCCAACTGCGGAAAGTCAGCCCCACAGAGATACACCCCCATGCTATGTCTACAGAGAAAGTCCAGCTTTTACTGCTTGCTTTTCCCAGTAAACTGTGAGCCTCCTGCTGCCTTTTCTCAGTTTCTAATCGAACAGAAGGAAAAGGAGAACTCAGATTACAATTCAGATCACAGGAAATGACATAAGGAATAAAAAGAAATTTTACTTTTTGGGAAAATACAGGGCGGCCACTTCAGGATCCATGTCTGTGAGGTCGTCCAGGTAGACGCCATCTGCACCCAGGTGCCGGCTTCGTTTGTCTGCAGGAACAAACAGATCAGGTTAGACAGCTGCTCTTCCAGAAACACCCCATGGGATTCTGAGGGTCTCTGGGAAGTGCCCGGAGGTGAGCTCAGAAGTGCCCAGACTGGCCCAGAACCATGCTGTCGGAGCCAGCAGCCTAGCGTTATTGCGAAGGCGGGCACCCGAGTCTGCATGTGATGCCCCTACTCGCCGCCTGCTTGGCCTTGGTCATTACAGAACTTTGCTGGGCCTCATGCCCCAAATGTGAGGTGCACTCACTATACTGAAATGATTGCCATCATTATCACTGTTATTGTTAAGTGATAAAGCTTTCACTGAGTACTTCCCCATCAACACGCTGAAGCCTGGCACCCTGAATAGTGCATTGACTGCAGGCCTCCTGCTTGCTTCTGGCAGAGAATGACACCACTGGGTCACACAAATCTGGAATGCCACACACAGCTGAGTGGCTAATGGATCAGGTCTGACATCATCCCTCTGACATGCAACCAGGTGTGGGTTACACAAGGGTCCAGAGCACCTACTGAGTGCCAGTCACAGGGTTCAGAGCACCTACTGTGTGCCAACCACTACTGAAAGCACCGAGGGAACGAAGGTGAAGCAGATCAGAGTCCTGACCTCACAGAACACTGTGCTCTAGGAGGGGACTTGGGCAAAACAAGTAAATGAATGATCATTTGAGATGTGATAAGCAGACAGTCAGAGTAATGCACTAGAGAGAGGCAAGGGGAAGGAGAGAGGGGGCCAGATGAGTGGAATAACCCAGGTGGGCTGAAAAGGACACAATCCCTCTGGGTCCCAGCATCCCTGGGCTGTGAAATGGGGTTGACTACACGATCCCCAACACCTCATTGTCTATGAATAAATTCTCATAATTATTCAGCAAAGGGCGCAGACTGAACGTGACAGATGTAACAGTTCAGTGTTCTGAGCTTCTGAAGGCAGGACCGTGCCCTGCAGAGCACACACACATCTACACAGAAGGTGCTGGAAGCCCCAGCCTCCCTCCCCACCTTTCTTCCTAGAAGGCGAGTCCATCTTGCTCGCTGAAGCACAGAGGGGCTTAGGCTCCTCAATGGGAGGTAGAGGTGGGGCCGCGGCTCCCAAGGCCTCGACGTCCTCTGCATTCACGAACTGCATCTCTGTCTGAGACTTGCTCTGCTCTAAAAGCGGCTGCACTGGAGGCGGCTCGGCCAGTGTGGGCGACTGGTCACTGAATGCATCGGAAGATTCACTGTGGATGGCCTTGAAGTGCATTTTTTCATAGAGTTTCCTGCTGCTCAGTGGGCTGGAATCTTTCATCTTGTGTAGAGGTGACTAGATCAAAGGGGCAAGGGGAGAGGGAAGAGGGGGGTCAGAGCGCAATCAGAAAAACCAAGTTAACCCACAAACCACCATTAGCCATGTAAGGATCTGCTGACTGTCCACACTCAGCAGGAGATACCTCAGGAGTCACCTGGTGGTTTCCGTGCCTGCCAAAGAGTCCGGAATCAAGAGTATTAGTTCTAGAGCAAAGGGACTTTTGTATAAAACATCAGCTGCTGAGTAGATGTGAGTGAGGTTAGTAATGGCCAGCAAGAGGCAGAACCCAGATGCCCACCAAGTGAACAGGCAGCATAGTGACACAGAGGGGATTTTGCAGTGACGAGAGTAAATGAGTTATGGTTACGTACAACATGAGAAAGCTTGCAAAACCAGTCCCTGCTGTTAGAGTCAAGATCACGTCCATCCCTGCAGGGGATCAGTCTGAGTAGTAACTGCAAAGGTGGGGGCTTCCCAGGTAGTCCCACTTCCTGGTCTGGGTGCAGGTCACATGGACATGCTCACAGTGGGATAATGTATTGACCTGTGCACATACGACCCAGATATTTCCATGTATGTGTACATACTTCACCCCCAAATGTGAGTGAACCAGTGAAAATTTAGTGGCTGGTTCACAGGAGTGGGAAATTAGCACTTCTGATTCTCTCTGTGAGGAGTTTCTAGTCAGGGAAAAGATTCAACCACACAAAACTGAAAGGCACTGTGTGCATTAGGAAGTGGGAGGGCATTCAGTCTGCGTCTGAGCTCCCGGAGCCCAGAGCAGATGAACACAGTGCAGGAGGTCTGTGCTGGGAACTGCTTTCCACAAGCGCTGGCTCTGCACTTCATGCCATCTCTCCAGCAACCGTGACGCGGGCTTGTAAAGATGGGTGGCTGGGTACGCACTACAGCTGTGGGCAGGGAAATCAGCATTTCCCATGAAAGCTAAATATAACCTAAAAAGGGCATGAGTCCACAACTTCAGCCTCAGCAGGCCTCCTCTCCAAAGAGCTGCTCATCCTGAGTCTTCTATTTTATTGATTTTTTGAGAGAGAGGAAGGGAGAGAGGGAAAGAGAAACATCCATGTATTGATCGACTGCCTCCTGCACGCCCCCTACTGGGGATCAAGCCCACAACCCAGGCATATGCCCTGACTGGGAATCAAACCGGCAACCTTTTGGTGAATGGGATGACACCCAACCAACTGAGCCACACCAGCCAGGGCGTCATCCTGAGTCTCGACAGGAACACTTTCAGTCCTCACTCTCACCCATTCATCTTTCAGATCACAAACATTTACTGGGGATAAGAGAGACCGTAGCATCTTCTAAGGACCTTATAATCATTTTTTTAAAACACAGCTTGAAATATAATAATTCAACATTCTTAAAATATACTGGACTATGAAATAAAATTTCTTGAAAGAAAACACCATGTCCATTTCACATTTTAGAAACTGTGGCAGAAATTGAAGGGGAAACACTCACTTTTGCAGCCTGTGGCAACTCCCCCCAAAGCCAGAGCATCTCCAGTTTGTTCTTCTGCATCGGCCTATCTGCGGACTTGCTGACCAATTCAGAATCACTTTTAGGTGTCGAAGGTCGGGAGCCTGAAGGACTTAACAACACAAATCTGTGATTAAAGTGGGAAGAGAAACTTTTTTTTAATGTCTTAGGCTCAGAAGTCTATAGTTCAAATAGCCCAGAAAATGCACCCAAGCCGCCATCCCCTTATGACACCGATTTTCAACCTTTCCCATCTCATGGCACACAAACTAATAAGTAAAATTCTGCTGCACACCAAAAAAAAAATTCTATTTTTTGCCAATCTGACCAAAAAAATAGGTATAATTTTTATTCGTTCCCACCAGACGGCTATTGCTGTGTTAGCTGTTGTCACTTTTTATTTGACAATCTAAGGGAAAAGGGATCAGGGCCCTGACTAAATAGTCAGGTACTGCAGGTTTTAAAAATTCTTGTAGCAGCACTACAGGTGGAAATCGCTGCCTCATGAGCATGGCTTCCTGACATGTCCCTTCTGTGGCCGCCAGGGGTTCACAGGGCTCCCGTCCAGGTGGAGGGTGCTCCCAACATGGGTAACCCTGTCCCAACCTGCTGCCCAAATCCAAGTAGAGAAGATGAGAAGTAGCATTAAAAAGGGAAAATTGGAAAAAAAAGACGAAAAAAGGCAGGAAAAAGAGAATCTGTCTTTACTTCACAACCAGCTGTCCTTCCCCGCCTCACCCTGAGCGCACCTCTCCTGCATTCCCAATTTCCAACCCGGTCTCTCCACAGTTGCCGAACCCACTCAGTTCTACACTTGAAATACAGAACGGAATCTGCGCTGGCTCTTGAAAAGAGGAAACTGCCTCATGTGCCAATTTGACCACAAATGCCAGACGCCACAAACTCGCTCATGTGACAGGAGCCACATTGAAATGTTAGAGACTATTATGCCTTCCAGGAACTTCAACGATTCCTACCTGCTAAGGCCCTTCTGTGGCAACGTATCGCAACGCTTCCTTCTCAGGCAGCTTTCCGGCAGCTGTAATTTGTGCTCTCATCCCTGTTTTCTCTGCTTTTACTCACGAGACCTGAGGAAAGTCTTACTTCTGTCCAGCCAGTCACCAGCCAAGAGTATCAACTGATCTACAAAATTCTCACAGTACTCTAAACACACAGATGGGAAAAATGCTCCTCTAAGTGTGTCCTGTCTTTAGTCTCCTGCATCTTTCCTCCAGAGTAAGACGGCAGTTCTCAAGAAAAGCGGGAAAGGAAGCTGCCACGATTTTCCTTTCGCGCCGTCTTTCACAGACCTCAGTCTCTCGGTCACCTCTCACTGACAGGCTCGGTCCCCTGCGTCTGAGTTAGACTCCACTCTGCCTGAACGCAGCCTTCCTGTCAGGACAAGGAGAACTCCCTGATAATACATAACTTGTACCAAACTGGGACCTTACTGGCCACACTGATCCTGGACCTTTGTCCAAACTGACTGGACCAAGCAGACTAAGCACCTTCCATCCACTCTGAGGTGCACAAAGTCTTCCTTCTCCTGTGGTGCCCACTGCCCACCGTCCATCTACACAAGTGTCACCGTGGGGCAGCCCCAGGTCTGCTCCGCCAGTGTGCAGAAAAGGGTCCTGAGGTGGCACATCACGAGGGCACATAGCCTGGGACACCTCCTCCAGCACACATGCTTTCCGCCCTTTAGTAGGAGCCCAGGAGAGGGAATGCTGAGACCACCACACGTCAGAGTGGTACAGCGTTACCACTTTCCAACCTCTCTGTCCTCTAGCTCTGTGACTAGGCTTTTCTCCAAATGGCCAACACTTCTCTCACCTGCACTATCCACAATTACGTTTAGCATCAGTGATATGGGCACAGGAGTGTCGTGGCCTCTGGAGAGGGGCTTTGCACCTGCACTGTGACCTGAGTCTACCCTTCCTCCAGGAGCATCACAAGAGAGGATTTCCTACCCCACAGAGCTGCACCCAACCCCAAATCACTTGTTTAAAAAGCCCCTACCATTATATTTATCACACAAAACACAATTTGCATTGTATTTTGTTATTATAATTTGTTATAAATTCTGTGAAACAACTTCTCTCAGCCACCGCCACCAATTAAGTAAAGCCCTTTAGGCTGAGCTTGCTCTAGAGTAGGGGATGCAGCGAACGTTCTCTGTAAAAGGCCAGAGAGCAAATATTTCATGCTTGGGGGGCTATGCGACCTTTCTTGTGACTACCCAGGTCTGCCATCGCACGCAAAAGCAGCCAGAGACCATATGCACACAGACTGGAGATGCTCCTGTCAACCTGCAGAGAAACAGCTGGCAGGTGTGGCCCCAGCTGTGTGCAGTTTGCTGCCCTCTGCTCTAAGAATACAGGTGCCGCACACAGTCCCAGAGCAGCCCCTGTTCCACAATCCCAACATCCTGGTCTTTCATAAAAGCAGCAGACCTCCCGAAGCACTGAGGTCTGCACATCTAGCCACAAAGCACTGAGCCCCCGGGAAAGGAGTAAGCAGGAAGCCCCAAGGCTCACAGTGGAGAACAACAGCAGACATTGGCCACTCAGCAGCCTTCCTCAAAGGCGTCTGTACTCAGTACACATGCACTCTGCTCCCTGGGAAATTCAGACCCACTGAGGATGACTTAGGGGAGACTCCGATACTGGGCGTGACTGATGAGAAAGAGATTCTAAGGTTTCCCGTTATCAAATATTAGACTTCTGAGATCAAAGGTTGCTGCAAAAAGTAAATTTCCCAGGCCCTTGACTGATTTTCTTAAGTGATACACTTATTAGCCATATAACCGTTTTCAGTATTTCTGCCAGTCCCAATTAGGCAAATCGGATATAACTGCTCATGACTCAATTTACCTCATTTTAAAATGTCCTTTCTTCTACACATGTAACCTCTGAATGAAGTACATCCTGAGATTCAGTTCTTTAATCAAAAATAAAAACAGCCCGGCCGGAATGGTTCAGTGGTTGAGCATCAACCTAGGCTCCAGGAGATTGTGGTTCAATTCCTGGTCAGGGCACATGCCCGGGTTGTGGGCTCGATCCCCACTCGGAGGCATGCAGGAGGCAGCTGATCAATGACTCATCATTGATGTTTCTCTCTCTCCCTCTCCCTTTTCCTCTCTCTGAAATCAATAAAGATATATTTTAAAAATAAAAAGTTGCCCATCTAGAAATTAATTGTAGCTTCATTAGCTAAAGCTTTAAAACCCCTTAAATCCATAAACCGAGACTGCCAGCCAGGGTGTGGGCAAAGCTGAGGGAACAGGACAGGAATCTGAGACCACTGCACCAAACAAGAAGACAAATCTACGACCCTAAGCCGTAGGATCTGTCCTGCCCTATTCTCAGAAACTCTACTCTAGCCATGCTGTGAAAACATCTGATACCTACTCAGTCTAATAAGCTATTTAAATATTTATAGTGACTTCCATTACACTGAAATGATGTCCTAAAAAAAATCCTGTAAGCTCACCTGCTGGCCAACCCTAGACACAAAACAAAAATTCATATTCCCAATTTTTTTCTCACTTTTCTATTCTGAAAGCACTCCATAGAATCAAGAAGAAATATGATTAAACCACGATTCCCCGAGAGTCAAAGTCAGTACTTGAAAAGAATCTAAGAATCCACAAATGCTTACAGTGAAAGGGAAAAATCATTTGTGTGCATTTTCTGCGTAAGTAATTTGGTTAGTCAGCAAAATAGATTTGTAGGAATTAAAGCAAAATTTGCACTTCATAGGATCTATATATGCATTTTCTGCATAATTTTGGTTAGTGGTAAAATAGATTTGTAAGAGTTAGATGAAAAGTTTCGTTACTAAAGACATCCACGTGGGGAAGGGGCCGCTACCTTTCCGAAGCATGGAGGAGGGATGACTGCGGAGGGCAGGAATTAGAAAGCAGGCCCTCGGCCGCCACTGCCACATGAGGGGGGTTCCTTTTGCAATCTATCAGGCTACTGGATACCACGTGATGCACATTAAGAGAAAAAAGATCACAGGTCAGTTAAGTAAAATGAAATTTCATATCAATCATAGGACCACTGTCAGTGGTCACAGTTGTAAGAGCGCGAACACACTTGAGCGTCCGAGGACGATATGTGGAAATCAACATGAATTTCTCAACCACAAAAACAGGAAACTGCCCATTTCCCTTTCTATTTCATCCATGCGCCCACCAGAGCTTGGTGCTTCATCAAATCTTTGGAGCACGTGGTTTGATTATTTGTGCTGTCAGCTCTCTCTTTAAACAAAATACGTAATTCCAAGTATGGAAATGTGCCCAACGATCCTCGTTTGACAGTGGTCAGATCCACCTAATCTGACACAGTCATTATTCTGGACTCACAGAGTGAAACGTGAAAGAGAAAACCTCTTCAGGGTTGTGTTCAAAACACTTATTTTAAATTCTTAAAATGAATAGGGTGTTTGAACAGATTTTCAACCTATTAGTGGTTTCCAACCATTCCACATATTTCCTTCCTGCAAGTCCTGTGTTTTCCCTCCGGGGGGTTTATCTCCACGGACCCCAGTAGAGAGTGTCTGAGGTTCCTGAAAGGTACCCGCCTGCTGTCCGATAGGAGAGCCACTGGCTACACATGACAACTGGACACGTGAAAGGTGACCAGTGAACTGACAAGTTATGTATGTGTGAGAGACACACCGATTTCAAAGACCTACCATAAAATAGAATGTGAAATATCTCATCAATAATGCCTGGAATGATATTCTGGACATACTGGTCAAATGAAATGTATCATCAAAGCTAATCTCATAGCTGGATGGCTGCTAGAAATTTTTAACTTACATATGGCGCTGGCATGATGTTGCTGTTGGACAAGATGGGTCTTTAGAAAGACAGACAGACCTCCATGAGGGGACTTCACAGGCCCCAACCCCACCCTGGTTTCCAGGCTGACCAACATTCATGGTCACAGTCCTGGCTGGAAACCAGGCATGCTGTCTGTTTCTCTCTGACCTGAAGCTCAGCACACCCTGCTCAGGGTGCTATGTCATGAACAAGATCATGTTGGTCAAAGGGAAACCACGACTGGTGACTGCAGAAGACAGGCTTCAGGCAGGAAGTCTATGTAGCATGTGCCACAGCTCGGGGGCTCCCACATGTCCACTGTAAACCAGAAGTAAATCTAACACATTGAGAATAAGAACAGCCCTGGCCAGGGTGGCTCAGGTAGGTTGGGCATCATCCCGTGCACCTAAAATGTTGCAGATTTGATTCCCAGTTAGGGCACACGCCCGGGCTGCGGGCTCAATCCCTGGTGGAAGGCGTGCAGGAGGCAGCTGATCCATGTTTCCCTCTCATATAAATATTTCTCTCTCCCTCTCTCTCTCTCTTAAAAAAAAAAAAAAAAAAAAAAAAAAAAAAAAAAAA